CAGGTGCAAGAACCATATCATTGTTAATTCTAGGACAAATTACATTTTGATTCCCTCAAATATGATTCTTTTTCGACACTTCTTCCTCAACTATCATATTTTTCGGCAAAATATGTTTCATTCTGCTCTCAAGGGATGCAATATTCTTACTTTGTCCGGATATGTTAGCAATTATCGTCAAAAAAGATAGCAGATATTTATGTTTGAAGTTGTGTGAAATAATTCAAATAGTTGAGGGAATAGTTTAAGGGATAAAATGACATTGAATCCATAATTAAATGGTCAAAGTGTAATTTATCCTTAAATCTATCTAGCCATCATTATTTTGTATATAAAGTTGTCATTTTCATAGTGTGTGAGCAGCACACGCCTCAGCCATTGATATTTCCAAAGTAACCTTCGTTAAACACCATACAATAATAAATGGCCGGTTGACATTCCTTTGTGACGATAAAACCCCTATCTTTCTGCTACCAGTTTCGTTTTTTTTTTGTTAATCAGAGATGGGCATTCCTGTCCATATGAAAATCTGTCATTTTCTTATTGATGGGGATGCCTTACTTACCCTTAAAGGATTGTCTCTTATGTATTATATAAGTTTAAAGGGCACTTGTAATTGAAATTTAGATCAAAATATCATTGGATTGCCATTTTAAAAAGTGCACAAGTTTGAAAAATGAGTTCAAAACGAACCTACTGTTAAAAAAAAGTTCAAAACAAGATGATTTTCAACAATATATCGAAAAGAAGTGCTCACCAAATTCATTACACCAAATGATGTGACACTATCATAAATGTTGAATGGGATTTAATAAAACCCACTTATTCTAACAATAATCGACCCTGAAATTTCTGTTATGTTGTGTTTGACATACAGAGATTGGAAAAGTTTCAAGAATCTGATCCTGCACTATACTCAAATATGGTTGAGATTTTGAAGAAAGAGGCCAGTGAAGGTAATGCAAGAAAAAGAACCAGCTGTAGTAGTGCCATTGTTTGGCTTACAAGGTAAAAACTTCGAATCTTTAATTGGAAGATCATTGACTATTACAACAGCTATGATTCAAGTCCCGCCATTTGGCCCGTGACTTGCACTTGCGGGCGGGCTTCCATCCAACAGGCCACGTAAAACTTGCATAAATTACATCATGCACTTGCAGATTAGTTCATATCTAAGAAATTCGGACACGGACACGTTTATCGTATTCGATACAATACAAATATGAACATACAATAAAGTTAGAAAATATAGAACATGAGTACGGCAACGATATGACTAATAAAAAGAATATAATATATTTTTTAGCTAGTAATAGAATTATAATACATTAAAAACAAAGTATATTTTATAACAATATTAGTAATAAGATGTAGCAAATATAATTTTTTTGATTAAATTTAAAATAGATCTAACTAAAATTTCAATATGTTCATCAAATATCATTACAAATTACACTTCTCTTAATAGTTAACAATCATGTTATAAATAAAAAAAAAACCTTGATTGTGTCCTGACTTTGTCCCAACTGTGTCTGTGTTCGACACTAGGGCGCCCCTGGGAAAGTATCCACGTTTTCTAGGTTGTTATTTTATCTTGTTTGATATATTTTGTGGTCTGTGGTGATTTCTCAGTTATTGTACTTGTGTTTGTTTCGATTTTGCAGATCCATGGACTTCACAGTAGCTTTGTTGCAATTATTAGTGAAGGATTTTGACCTAAATATGGAACAAGCAGTGCAAGAGTCATACAACATCACTCTAAAACCATGGCATGGATGGATTTGTTCCACTGCTTACAGAGTAATACTGCATTTCTACATGCTGCCTTTTTGTTTTGGCTACTTAATTTATATATAGGGGTAAAGGAATCGAACCTATTGGGTTGTTTGCACTTGATTCGGTTGAGCTGGGGTAAAATTTAGCATGGCATACTCCGTTCGAGCCCACTAAGCTTGAGTACAGTTTTGCTAGATGTTGGGTAACGTGAAATCCTCTCATCAACATATCTTTTAGACTCGCGAATATCACAAACATCCTTGAATTAATAGAGTGGTTCATACACATTCCAAAAAAGTTTTTGGAAGATAAAATTTACCGGTTTCTCTGAAATTCAGTCCTGAGTTTTCTCAAAATTCTTTTGGAGAATACTTATTTGTATAAATATTATCTTAAAATAATTGGAAATAGTGGTCAAGCACTCTGGTGACTGGTGCTAAAAAGGGAGTATCACTTACACTTTCTTGGGTTTGAAATGTAACACAAATATGAAAGCATAGAAATGAAGGTCTCTTACCTCCTGCGACTTCAGTCTCTCCCCATGCCGGAGGAAGACTATATATATTGACTTTCTCTCTCTATTCTCTAAACTTCACAGTGACAGAGTCTATTGTCTTGTCAGGTAGCACTTAAACTATTGCCTGATAACAAAACTTTAGTTTCCACCCTCATGGCCAAAGATGAAGACTATGAAAAACTCAAAGGGGAAATGCAAGCACTGATTTCATTAATTGTACCTCTCCTAGAAGATATCCACTCTATTCTGGTAAGCCTCAATATTCATATTATTCTCTAGTGCTTGAGCACAATATTGATTCTTTTTAACTATCACATAATAACAAAGTGATTGCTTTTTCTTTTCTTTTCTTTTTTTCATATTCATTTTGATGTGTATTTTATACCTCTTTATCTTGCAGAGAACATATGGCTTGGATAGGTTGAAGTCTATTTGAAGGGAGAGTAGATAAGAGACTAAAACAACAGTATACAGTTCAGTTTTGTATAATCCTCTTTTCTTCTATGTACATATTAATACTTATATGTTTCCTCCTGTTAATGTACAAAATACAAATAGATCTGTACTTAGGGAACTCCCTCTGTTTTATTGAAAACCGCCATGGTTTTGTTTAACATGGCATGTATAAATAGAAGATATCGGTTTATATAGCATGTATAATTCAGTGTTTGTTACATATAAATGAAATTACAGATTTGGATTATGCAGATTATGTATACTGTTTCAATAAGTGCCCGCAAGTCTTCGACCTATTTAAGTTGCTGCACAAATCTTTTTTCTTTTTTTCGCTCGATAAGGTCAATCACAAACCAATTCATTGACTACGACGGTTCACATGACAACTGAAACCCTTTGACCTTCAAGGATTCACTCTCATAGAAGTTCGAGACTACACAAGTATATATATATATATTGATGGGTCAAGTCCAAATGACCCAATTTATGGGAAAAAAACCCAATCTTATAGAAGACCAAACAAACCCTATGAGGTCCAAGATGGTCAAATCTATTAGAGAGCTACGGGAGCATCCACGAGCTATACCCTTGCCCGTTGAGGAAGAGGAGAGATCATTAGGAAGAGGAAAGGTAGCCAAGAAGAAGAGAAGTCATCAGTTATTAAGTTGTCTATAATCCGTTATAACCGTCAAGCTATTCAATTACTACGCAGGCTTCTATAAATTATAAGCTCTCCCAACACTTGGGGGGCATCTAAACGAAATCAAGCTCATCTCCCTCTCTCTTGTAATTCTTGTTCTCCCAACGCATCGGAGTCAATTAAATTCCCGATCAACCTAGCTATNCACACACACACACACACAAAATTATGTGATTTGAGAGACACTTATTGTTATCGGATAAACATGTTGACAGTTTGTTAATCACTTCATTGAGACTTCCAGGTTCTCCTTTGTTTTTTAAAAAATCTCTTATTAGCCTCTATTCACTACTCTCTGTATACAAGAATCAATCACTTTGCATTCTGCCTCTACAAGATTACAAGTTCCTGTGGCTATGTTCTTGTCTATTTTTTTGCAGATAAGATAGGGCCAACACTGACTGTGCTGAGACAAGACATACATCAAAACATCCAGGTGCAAGAACCATATCATTGTTAATTCTAGGACAAATTACATTTTGATTCCCTCAAATATGATTCTTTTTCGACACTTCTTCCTCAACTATCATATTTTTCGGCAAAATATGTTTCATTCTGCTCTCAAGGGATGCAATATTCTTACTTTGTCCGGATATGTTAGCAATTATCGTCAAAAAAGATAGCAGATATTTATGTTTGAAGTTGTGTGAAATAATTCAAATAGTTGAGGGAATAGTTTAAGGGATAAAATGACATTGAATCCATAATTAAATGGTCAAAGTGTAATTTATCCTTAAATCTATCTAGCCATCATTATTTTGTATATAAAGTTGTCATTTTCATAGTGTGTGAGCAGCACACGCCTCAGCCATTGATATTTCCAAAGTAACCTTCGTTAAACACCATACAATAATAAATGGCCGGTTGACATTCCTTCGTGACGATAAAACCCCTATCTTTCTGCTACCAGTTTCGTTTTTTTTTTTGTTAATCAGAGATGGGCATTCCTGTCCATATGAAAATCTGTCATTTTCTTATTGATGGGGATGCCTTACTTACCCTTAAAGGATTGTCTCTTATGTATTATATAAGTTTAAAGGGCACTTGTAATTGAAATTTAGATCAAAATATCATTGGATTGCCATTTTAAAAAGTGCACAAGTTTGAAAAATGAGTTCAAAACGACCCTACTGTTAAAAAAAAGTTCAAAACAAGATGATTTTCAACAATATATCGAAAAGAAGTGCTCACCAAATTCATTACACCAAATGATGTGACACTATCATAAATGTTGAATGGGATTTAATAAAACCCACTTATTCTAACAATAATCGACCCTGAAATTTCTGTTATGTTGTGTTTGACATACAGAGATTGGAAAAGTTTCAAGAATCTGATCCTGCACTATACTCAAATATGGTTGAGATTTTGAAGAAAGAGGCCAGTGAAGGTAATGCAAGAAAAAGAACCAGCTGTAGTAGTGCCATTGTTTGGCTTACAAGGTAAAAACTTCGAATCTTTAATTGGAAGATCATTGACTATTACAACAGCTATGATTCAAGTCCCGCCATTTGGCCCGTGACTTGCACTTGCGGGCGGGCTTCCATCCAACAGGCCACGTAAAACTTGCATAAATTACATCATGCACTTGCAGATTAGTTCATATCTAAGAAATTCGGACACGGACACGTTTATCGTATTCGATACAATACAAATATGAACATACAATAAAGTTAGAAAATATAGAACATGAGTACGGCAACGATATGACTAATAAAAAGAATATAATATATTTTTTAGCTAGTAATAGAATTATAATACATTAAAAACAAAGTATATTTTATAACAATATTAGTAATAAGATGTAGCAAATATAATTTTTTTGATTAAATTTAAAATAGATCTAACTAAAATTTCAATATGTTCATCAAATATCATTACAAATTACACTTCTCTTAATAGTTAACAATCATGTTATAAATAAAAAAAAAACCTTGATTGTGTCCTGACTTTGTCCCAACTGTGTCTGTGTTCGACACTAGGGCGCCCCTGGGAAAGTATCCACGTTTTCTAGGTTGTTATTTTATCTTGTTTGATATATTTTGTGGTCTGTGGTGATTTCTCAGTTATTGTACTTGTGTTTGTTTCGATTTTGCAGATCCATGGACTTCACAGTAGCTTTGTTGCAATTATTAGTGAAGGATTTTGACCTAAATATGGAACAAGCAGTGCAAGAGTCATACAACATCACTCTAAAACCATGGCATGGATGGATTTGTTCCACTGCTTACAGAGTAATACTGCATTTCTACATGCTGCCTTTTTGTTTTGGCTACTTAATTTATATATAGGGGTAAAGGAATCGAACCTATTGGGTTGTTTGCACTTGATTCGGTTGAGCTGGGGTAAAATTTAGCATGGCATACTCCGTTCGAGCCCACTAAGCTTGAGTACAGTTTTGCTAGATGTTGGGTAACGTGAAATCCTCTCATCAACATATCTTTTAGACTCGCGAATATCACAAACATCCTTGAATTAATAGAGTGGTTCATACACATTCCAAAAAAGTTTTTGGAAGATAAAATTTACCGGTTTCTCTGAAATTCAGTCCTGAGTTTTCTCAAAATTCTTTTGGAGAATACTTATTTGTATAAATATTATCTTAAAATAATTGGAAATAGTGGTCAAGCACTCTGGTGACTGGTGCTAAAAAGGGAGTATCACTTACACTTTCTTGGGTTTGAAATGTAACACAAATATGAAAGCATAGAAATGAAGGTCTCTTACCTCCTGCGACTTCAGTCTCTCCCCATGCCGGAGGAAGACTATATATATTGACTTTCTCTCTCTATTCTCTAAACTTCACAGTGACAGAGTCTATTGTCTTGTCAGGTAGCACTTAAACTATTGCCTGATAACAAAACTTTAGTTTCCACCCTCATGGCCAAAGATGAAGACTATGAAAAACTCAAAGGGGAAATGCAAGCACTGATTTCATTAATTGTACCTCTCCTAGAAGATATCCACTCTATTCTGGTAAGCCTCAATATTCATATTATTCTCTAGTGCTTGAGCACAATATTGATTCTTTTTAACTATCACATAATAACAAAGTGATTGCTTTTTCTTTTCTTTTCTTTTTTTCATATTCATTTTGATGTGTATTTTATACCTCTTTATCTTGCAGAGAACATATGGCTTGGATAGGTTGAAGTCTATTTGAAGGGAGAGTAGATAAGAGACTAAAACAACAGTATACAGTTCAGTTTTGTATAATCCTCTTTTCTTCTATGTACATATTAATACTTATATGTTTCCTCCTGTTAATGTACAAAATACAAATAGATCTGTACTTAGGGAACTCCCTCTGTTTTATTGAAAACCGCCATGGTTTTGTTTAACATGGCATGTATAAATAGAAGATATCGGTTTATATAGCATGTATAATTCAGTGTTTGTTACATATAAATGAAATTACAGATTTGGATTATGCAGATTATGTATACTGTTTCAATAAGTGCCCGCAAGTCTTCGACCTATTTAAGTTGCTGCACAAATCTTTTTTCTTTTTTTCGCTCGATAAGGTCAATCACAAACCAATTCATTGACTACGACGGTTCACATGACAACTGAAACCCTTTGACCTTCAAGGATTCACTCTCATAGAAGTTCGAGACTACACAAGTATATATATATATATTGATGGGTCAAGTCCAAATGACCCAATTTATGGGAAAAAAACCCAATCTTATAGAAGACCAAACAAACCCTATGAGGTCCAAGATGGTCAAATCTATTAGAGAGCTACGGGAGCATCCACGAGCTATACCCTTGCCCGTTGAGGAAGAGGAGAGATCATTAGGAAGAGGAAAGGTAGCCAAGAAGAAGAGAAGTCATCAGTTATTAAGTTGTCTATAATCCGTTATAACCGTCAAGCTATTCAATTACTACGCAGGCTTCTATAAATTATAAGCTCTCCCAACACTTGGGGGGCATCTAAACGAAATCAAGCTCATCTCCCTCTCTCTTGTAATTCTTGTTCTCCCAACGCATCGGAGTCAATTAAATTCCCGATCAACCTAGCTATTGAAAGTGGACGTAGGTTTCCTTGATCGAACCACTATAAACCTTATTTTTTTTCTCTCTCTACTTACTGCATTTTATATTGTTTAATTGACGGGTGGTATGTAAATCAATTTTGTGCATCATATATATGTGTGTGTGTGTGTGTGTGTGTGTGTGTGCTCTTTTGTTTTTGGTTAGAAGTTATTTCTTAAAACAAGAAGCTTTTGCTCATGAGCTTTTTCTCTCTAGGAAAAACTCTTGTGATTTTCTTTTTGGCTTCCATGTTTTTGCTCTAAATGTGTGGGTAAGGATCTCTTAGAAACTTAGGACAACATAAGTATTTAGAGTTGTATAACACAAATCCTCATACTCAAACCAAATAAACAAAAACTATATACGTTGTTTGGACGCAAACCATTGCCCTTGCCTATTTGAATGAAGGTAAAAAATGACTACTTGGGATTTCAAATAGAATAATTCGCCGACATTCCATTTATATTTTGTGAATTATGGTATACATTTTTTCGAAAGTAAAAACATTTTAGTTTATGATGACATACATTAAGCACTTTAGTAGACAACATTTTAAAAAAAATAGAATTATTTTCAATATGATATTAAACTCATCAAATCATATTTTGATGAAAAATGCTTTAANACCTACTGTTAAAAAAAAGTTCAAAACAAGATGATTTTCAACAATATATCGAAAAGAAGTGCTCACCAAATTCATTACACCAAATGATGTGACACTATCATAAATGTTGAATGGGATTTAATAAAACCCACTTATTCTAACAATAATCGACCCTGAAATTTCTGTTATGTTGTGTTTGACATACAGAGATTGGAAAAGTTTCAAGAATCTGATCCTGCACTATACTCAAATATGGTTGAGATTTTGAAGAAAGAGACCAGTGAAGGTAATGCAAGAAAAAGAACCAGCTGTAGTAGTGCCATTGTTTGGCTTACAAGGTAAAAACTTCGAATCTTTAATTGGAAGATCATTGACTATTACAACAGCTATGATTCAAGTCCCGCCATTTGGCCCGTGACTTGCACTTGCGGGCGGGCTTCCATCCAACAGGCCACGTAAAACTTGCATAAATTACATCATGCACTTGCAGATTAGTTCATATCTAAGAAATTCGGACACGGACACGTTTATCGTATTCGATACAATACAAATATGAACATACNCAACAGCTATGATTCAAGTCCCGCCATTTGGCCCGTGACTTGCACTTGCGGGCGGGCGGGCTTCCATCCAACAGGCCACGTAAAACTTGCATAAATTACATCATGTACTTGCAGATTAGTTCATATCTAAGAAATTCGGACACGGACACGTTTATCATATTTGATACAATACACATATGAACATATNTGCAGATTAGTTCATATCTAAGAAATTCGGACACGGACACGTTTATCGTATTCGATACAATACAAATATGAACATACAATAAAGTTAGAAAATATAGAACATGAGTACGGCAACGATATGACTAATAAAAAGAATATAATATATTTTTTAGCTAGTAATAGAATTATAATACATTAAAAACAAAGTATATTTTATAACAATATTAGTAATAAGATGTAGCAAATATAATTTTTTTGATTAAATTTAAAATAGATCTAACTAAAATTTCAATATGTTCATCAAATATCATTACAAATTACACTTCTCTTAATAGTTAACAATCATGTTATAAATAAAAAAAAAACCTTGATTGTGTCCTGACTTTGTCCCAACTGTGTCTGTGTTCGACACTAGGGCGCCCCTGGGAAAGTATCCACGTTTTCTAGGTTGTTATTTTATCTTGTTTGATATATTTTGTGGTCTGTGGTGATTTCTCAGTTATTGTACTTGTGTTTGTTTCGATTTTGCAGATCCATGGACTTCACAGTAGCTTTGTTGCAATTATTAGTGAAGGATTTTGACCTAAATATGGAACAAGCAGTGCAAGAGTCATACAACATCACTCTAAAACCATGGCATGGATGGATTTGTTCCACTGCTTACAGAGTAATACTGCATTTCTACATGCTGCCTTTTTGTTTTGGCTACTTAATTTATATATAGGGGTAAAGGAATCGAACCTATTGGGTTGTTTGCACTTGATTCGGTTGAGCTGGGGTAAAATTTAGCATGGCATACTCCGTTCGAGCCCACTAAGCTTGAGTACAGTTTTGCTAGATGTTGGGTAACGTGAAATCCTCTCATCAACATATCTTTTAGACTCGCGAATATCACAAACATCCTTGAATTAATAGAGTGGTTCATACACATTCCAAAAAAGTTTTTGGAAGATAAAATTTACCGGTTTCTCTGAAATTCAGTCCTGAGTTTTCTCAAAATTCTTTTGGAGAATACTTATTTGTATAAATATTATCTTAAAATAATTGGAAATAGTGGTCAAGCACTCTGGTGACTGGTGCTAAAAAGGGAGTATCACTTACACTTTCTTGGGTTTGAAATGTAACACAAATATGAAAGCATAGAAATGAAGGTCTCTTACCTCCTGCGACTTCAGTCTCTCCCCATGCCGGAGGAAGACTATATATATTGACTTTCTCTCTCTATTCTCTAAACTTCACAGTGACAGAGTCTATTGTCTTGTCAGGTAGCACTTAAACTATTGCCTGATAACAAAACTTTAGTTTCCACCCTCATGGCCAAAGATGAAGACTATGAAAAACTCAAAGGGGAAATGCAAGCACTGATTTCATTAATTGTACCTCTCCTAGAAGATATCCACTCTATTCTGGTAAGCCTCAATATTCATATTATTCTCTAGTGCTTGAGCACAATATTGATTCTTTTTAACTATCACATAATAACAAAGTGATTGCTTTTTCTTTTCTTTTCTTTTTTTCATATTCATTTTGATGTGTATTTTATACCTCTTTATCTTGCAGAGAACATATGGCTTGGATAGGTTGAAGTCTATTTGAAGGGAGAGTAGATAAGAGACTAAAACAACAGTATACAGTTCAGTTTTGTATAATCCTCTTTTCTTCTATGTACATATTAATACTTATATGTTTCCTCCTGTTAATGTACAAAATACAAATAGATCTGTACTTAGGGAACTCCCTCTGTTTTATTGAAAACCGCCATGGTTTTGTTTAACATGGCATGTATAAATAGAAGATATCGGTTTATATAGCATGTATAATTCAGTGTTTGTTACATATAAATGAAATTACAGATTTGGATTATGCAGATTATGTATACTGTTTCAATAAGTGCCCGCAAGTCTTCGACCTATTTAAGTTGCTGCACAAATCTTTTTTCTTTTTTTCGCTCGATAAGGTCAATCACAAACCAATTCATTGACTACGACGGTTCACATGACAACTGAAACCCTTTGACCTTCAAGGATTCACTCTCATAGAAGTTCGAGACTACACAAGTATATATATATATATTGATGGGTCAAGTCCAAATGACCCAATTTATGGGAAAAAAACCCAATCTTATAGAAGACCAAACAAACCCTATGAGGTCCAAGATGGTCAAATCTATTAGAGAGCTACGGGAGCATCCACGAGCTATACCCTTGCCCGTTGAGGAAGAGGAGAGATCATTAGGAAGAGGAAAGGTAGCCAAGAAGAAGAGAAGTCATCAGTTATTAAGTTGTCTATAATCCGTTATAACCGTCAAGCTATTCAATTACTACGCAGGCTTCTATAAATTATAAGCTCTCCCAACACTTGGGGGGCATCTAAACGAAATCAAGCTCATCTCCCTCTCTCTTGTAATTCTTGTTCTCCCAACGCATCGGAGTCAATTAAATTCCCGATCAACCTAGCTATTGAAAGTGGACGTAGGTTTCCTTGATCGAACCACTATAAACCTTATTTTTTTTCTCTCTCTACTTACTGCATTTTATATTGTTTAATTGACGGGTGGTGTGCAAATCAATTTTGTGCATCATATATATATATATATATATATATATATGTGTGTGTGTGTGTGTGTGTGTGTGTGTGTGCGCGCGCTCTTTTGTTTTTGGTTAGAAGTTATTTCTTAAAACAAGAAGCTTTTGCTCATGAGCTTTTTCTCTCTAGGAAAAACTCTTGTGATTTGCTTTTTGGCTTCCATGTTTTTGTTCTAAATGTGTGGGTAAGGATCTCTTAGAAACTTAGGACAACATAAGTATTTAGAGTTGTACAACACAAATCCTCATATTCAAACCAAATAAACAAAAACTATATACGTTGTTTGGACGCAAACCATTGCCCTTGCCTATTTGAATGAAGGTAAAACATGACTACTTGGGATTTCAAATAGAATAATTCGCCAACATTCCATTTATATTTTGTGAATTATGGTATACATTTTTTCGAAAGTAAAAACATTTTAGTTTATGATGACATACATTAAGCACTTTAGTAGACAACAATTTTAAAAAAAAATAGAATTATTTTCAATATGATATTAAACTCATCAAATCATATTTTGATGAAAAATGCTTTAAAACATTACAATATTTGATTATGATATTTCCGTGAACGTACGTCAATAAACACGTAATGAAACTTAAACGCAAACAAAAGTAATTACACTTCAAAAATTATCTTACAATCCAAATAAGCAAACCTTGTTCACCCACAAACTACAACAATAAATGATAGTCTTGAAAACAACACTTTGGTACATACAAACCCAATGATAACTTAGATAGTCAAACATAAAGAGTGGTTTTTTTTTCACTTAAATCTATCTATCTATAATAAAACACCTACTATTTTGAATTTTTATCTTTTATATATTTTTTCGCTCATTTCTATTACATCACTCATTTTTATCTAAGTTAAATTATTTAATTTTTGTTTAATAGGGACATTGTTCATATACCATAATTTCCACAAATTGTTTTTGATGATGCACAAAATGATTTTTGCACACTACCTATCAAGTGTGAATAATAAATACAAGAAAATAATATTAGGAGATGAAGAGACACAGGCAATTTATAGTGGTTCGGTCAACTCGACCTACGTCCACTCTTCAATGGCTTTGGTTGCCGGGTATTTTATTAACTCAAGGGTGTGGGGTNTATATTTTATAACAATATTAGTAATAAGATGTAGCAAATATAATTTTTTTGATTAAATTTAAAATAGATCTAACTAAAATTTCAATATGTTCATCAAATATCATTACAAATTACACTTCTCTTAATAGTTAACAATCATGTTATAAATAAAAAAAAAACCTTGATTGTGTCCTGACTTTGTCCCAACTNCAAATATCATTACAAATTACACTTCTCTTAATAGTTAACAATCATGTTATAAATAAATAAAAACCTTGATTGTGTCCTGACTTTGTCCCAACCNCAGGTAAAGTGTGATCTGCCCCCTAAGTATTGGTGGGGCTTACAATTTATAGTCGTCCTCCTAACAGATTTTGGCAAGATATTAGTAAGTAGTTCGCTAGTTTGTTGGATCTGGCAAACTTTTCTCAACGTGCTAGGTAGTTGCAGTGCTCTCCATGAGATTCAGTCAAAGGATGAGATGGGGTGTTGACCATTTTNCTGTGTCTGTGTTCGACACTAGGGCGCCCCTGGGAAAGTATCCACGTTTTCTAGGTTGTTATTTTATCTTGTTTGATATATTTTGTGGTCTGTGGTGATTTCTCAGTTATTGTACTTGTGTTTGTTTCGATTTTGCAGATCCATGGACTTCACAGTAGCTTTGTTGCAATTATTAGTGAAGGATTTTGACCTAAATATGGAACAAGCAGTGCAAGAGTCATACAACATCACTCTAAAACCATGGCATGGATGGATTTGTTCCACTGCTTACAGAGTAATACTGCATTTCTACATGCTGCCTTTTTGTTTTGGCTACTTATTTTATATATAGGGGTAAAGGAATCGAACCTATTGGGTTGTTTGCACTTGATTCGGTTGAGCTGGGGTAAAATTTAGCATGGCATACTCCGTTCGAGCTCACTAAGCTTGAGTACAGTTTTGCTAGATGTTGGGTAACGTGAAATCCTCTCATCAACATATCTTTTAGACTCGCGAATATCACAAACATCCTTGAATTAATAGAGTGGTTCATACACATTCCGATAAAGTTTTTGGAAGATAAAATTTACCGGTTTCTCTGAAATTCAGTCCTGAGTTTTCTCAAAATTCTTTTGGAGAATACTTATTTGTATAAATATTATCTTAAAATAATTGGAAATAGTGGTCAAGCACTCTGGTGACTGGTGCTAAAAAGGGAGTATCACTTACACTTTCTTGGGTTTGAAATGTAACACAAATATGAAAGCATAGAAATGAAGGTCTCTTACCTCCTGCGACTTCAGTCTCTCCCCATGCCGGAGGAAGACTATATATATTGACTTTCTCTCTCTATTCTCTAAACTTCACAGTGACAGAGTCTATTGTCTTGTCAGGTAGCACTTAAACTATTGCCTGATAACAAAACTTTAGTTTCCACCCTCATGGCCAAAGATGAAGACTATGAAAAACTCAAAGGGGAAATGCAAGCACTGATTTCATTAATTTTACCTCTCCTAGAAGATATCCACTCTATTCTGGTAAGCCTCAATATTCATATTATTCTCTAGTGCTTGAGCACAATATTGATTCTTTTTAACTATCACATAATAACAAAGTGATTGCTTTTTCTTTTCTTTTCTTTTTTTCATATTCATTTTGATGTGTATTTTATACCTCTTTATCTTGCAGAGAACATATGGCTTGGATAGGTTGAAGTCTATTTGAAGGGAGAGTAGATAAGAGACTAAAACAACAGTATACAGTTCAGTTTTGTATAATCCTCTTTTCTTCTATGTACATATTAATACTTATATGTTTCCTCCTGTTAATGTACAAAATACAAATAGATCTGTACTTAGGGAACTCCCTCTGTTTTATTGAAAACCGCCATGGTTTTGTTTAACATGGCATGTATAAATAGAAGATATCGGTTTATATAGCATGTATAATTCAGTGTTTGTTACATATAAATGAAATTACAGATTTGGATTATGCAGATTATGTATACTGTTTCAATAAGTGCCCGCAAGTCTTCGACCTATTTAAGTTGCTGCACAAATCTTTTTTCTTTTTTTCGCTCGATAAGGTCAATCACAAACCAATTCATTGACTACGACGGTTCACATGACAACTGAAACCCTTTGACCTTCAAGGATTCACTCTCATAGAAGTTCGAGACTACACAAGTATATATATATATATTGATGGGTCAAGTCCAAATGACCCAATTTATGGGAAAAAAACCCAATCTTATAGAAGACCAAACAAACCCTATGAGGTCCAAGATGGTCAAATCTATTAGAGAGCTACGGGAGCATCCACGAGCTATACCCTTGCCCGTTGAGGAAGAGGAGAGATCATTAGGAAGAGGAAAGGTAGCCAAGAAGAAGAGAAGTCATCAGTTATTAAGTTGTCTATAATCCGTTATAACCGTCAAGCTATTCAATTACTACGCAGGCTTCTATAAATTATAAGCTCTCCCAACACTTGGGGGGCATCTAAACGAAATCAAGCTCATCTCCCTCTCTCTTGTAATTCTTGTTCTCCCAACGCATCGGAGTCAATTAAATTCCCGATCAACCTAGCTATTGAAAGTGGACGTAGGTTTCCTTGATCGAACCACTATAAACCTTATTTTTTTTCTCTCTCTACTTACTGCATTTTATATTGTTTAATTGACGGGTGGTGTGCAAATCAATTTTGTGCATCATATATATATATATATATATATATATATGTGTGTGTGTGTGTGTGTGTGTGTGTGTGTGCGCGCGCTCTTTTGTTTTTGGTTAGAAGTTATTTCTTAAAACAAGAAGCTTTTGCTCATGAGCTTTTTCTCTCTAGGAAAAACTCTTGTGATTTGCTTTTTGGCTTCCATGTTTTTGTTCTAAATGTGTGGGTAAGGATCTCTTAGAAACTTAGGACAACATAAGTATTTAGAGTTGTACAACACAAATCCTCATACTCAAACCAAATAAACAAAAACTATATACGTTGTTTGGACGCAAACCATTGCCCTTGCCTATTTGAATGAAGGTAAAAAATGACTACTTGGGATTTCAAATAGAATAATTCGCCGACATTCCATTTATATTTTGTGAATTATGGTATACATTTTTTCGAAAGTAAAAACATTTTAGTTTATGATGACATACATTAAGCACTTTAGTAGACAACAATTTTAAAAAAAAATAGAATTATTTTCAATATGATATTAAACTCATCAAATCATATTTTGATGAAAAATGCTTTAAAACATTACAATATTTGATTATGATATTTCCGTGAACGTACGTCAATAAACACGTAATGAAACTTAAACGCAAACAAAAGTAATTACACTTCAAAAATTATCTTACAATCCAAATAAGCAAACCCTGTTCACCCACAAACTACAACAATAAATGATAGTCTTGAAAACAACACTTTGGTACATACAAACCCAATGATAACTTAGATAGTCAAACATAAAGAGTGGTTTTTTTTTCACTTAAATCTATCTATCTATAATAAAACACCTACTATTTTGAATTTTTATCTTTTATATATTTTTTCGCTCATTTCTATTACATCACTCATTTTTATCTAAGTTAAATTATTTAATTTTTGTTTAATAGGGACATTGTTCATATACCATAATTTCCACAAATTGTTTTTGATGATGCACAAAATGATTTTTGCACACTACCTATCAAGTGTGAATAATAAATACAAGAAAATAATATTAGGAGATGAAGAGACACAGGCAATTTATAGTGGTTCGGTCAACTCGACCTACGTCCACTCTTCAATGGCTTTGGTTGCCGGGTATTTTATTAACTCAAGGGTGTGGGGTGCAGAGAGTACAAGCTTTGAGGGAGAGGAGAGAGTCATGCTCAGGTAAAGTGTGATCTGCCCCCTAAGTATTGGTGGGGCTTACAATTTATAGTCGTCCTCCTAACAGATTTTGGCAAGATATTAGTAAGTAGTTCGCTAGTTTGTTGGATCTGGCAAACTTTTCTCAACGTGCTAGGTAGTTGCAGTGCTCTCCATGAGATTCAGTCAAAGGATGAGATGGGGTGTTGACCATTTTTAGGGCAGCGAGGATAAGGCTTTGGATGACCTTACTTGCTCCCTTAGCTCCTTGAGCTACTGAGCTTGACCAGACTGATCACACTGATGAGCTTGACCGGGTTGGCCACACTAGGCTGAATTCGCTGAATCTCTTGGAGTCAAACTATAAACTTAAACTGGGTTTATAACATGAGTTAGNATAATAATACAATTGATGATGTCGTGATATCATTATTATAATTTTTTTTAAGCAATGCTATTGTGACATAATTTACTAACATAATTCCCTGTGATCTATAGATTGACTGTAGGCCCCATTAAATATTGGAATTTGGTGCTGATCCAATGATTTTTATGCAATTACATCATTATGTCAACAAATTAAATCAAATATTTAGCTCTAAATAACATTATTCTTTTTTTTTTTTATCAGAATTGTTACATTCTATAATTACTCTTATTAATGCATGGTAGGTGACGTACTATTCCCAAAAAAAGAAAAAAAAAATTGTATTGAGAGGGAGTTGGGTTGGTTGACAAGAAGTAAAGATTCCATGATCCAGGCTATAGCATTGCCCATTCTTAAATCCTAGATTGCAAAATCTAATCCACAAGCATGGTTTAGAAGGTTGACATCTTTCAAGCTATCATATATATTTGGTCCCACATTACGTATATATGAAAGAATATTATTAATTAAATACAAATAATACAGAAGGGTAAGTGATAACTTCAAGGTCAAATACAAGGTCACAATCATATACGTATAATAAAATAAAATAAAAACTATTTAAATAAAACTATACAGCAGTTTTCGCCTAGAAATATTTTTAAGTAACAAAAGGAAGCCATTGCATCTTTTAATGTGAAACGGCCATTATTGCTATTGCATTCTCTCTCTCTCTCTCTTTCTCTCTGTAGTCAACTGTACAATATTTAAGAACTTAGAGACAGCAAGAATCAAGGTGGAGGTAAAATAAATAGAGATTGAAATGAAGAGGCGAAGAGAAATGGAGAGTGGTTCAGAGATAAGGTCTGCCATTGAAGAGCTATCCATGGTGGTGGTCAAAGTTATACCTGGTGGCGATGATCAGAGTGTTGCCCATATCCCCGCCAAGCCTTTTCTATCGCTCTGCGACTTGATCATTCAAGTTCTTGGTCAGTCTCTCTCTCTCTCTCTCTCTCTCTCTCTCTCTCTCTCTCTCTCTCACACACACACACACACACACACACACACACAAAATTATGTGATTTGAGAGACACTTATTGTTATCGGATAAACATGTTGACAGTTTGTTAATCACTTCATTGAGACTTCCAGGTTCTCCTTTGTTTTTTAAAAAATCTCTTATTAGCCTCTATTCACTACTCTCTGTATACAAGAATCAATCACTTTGCATTCTGCCTCTACAAGATTACAAGTTCCTGTGGCTATGTTCTTGTCTATTTTTTTGCAGATAAGATAGGGCCAACACTGACTGTGCTGAGACAAGACATACATCAAAACATACAGGTGCAAGAACCATATCATTGTTAATTCTAGGACAAATTACATTTTGATTCCCTCAAATATGATTCTTTTTCGACACTTCTTCCTCAACTATCATATTTTTCGGCAAAATATGTTTCATTCTGCTCTCAAGGGATGCAATATTCTTACTTTGTCCGGATATGTTAGCAATTATCGTCAAAAAAGATAGCAGATATTTATGTTTGAAGTTGTGTGAAATAATTCAAATAGTTGAGGGAATAGTTTAAGGGATAAAATGACATTGAATCCATAATTAAATGGTCAAAGTGTAATTTATCCTTAAATCTATCTAGCCATCATTATTTTGTATATAAAGTTGTCATTTTCATAGTGTGTGAGCAGCACACGCCTCAGCCATTGATATTTCCAAAGTAACCTTCGTTAAACACCATACAATAATAAATGGCCGGTTGACATTCCTTTGTGACGATAAAACCCCTATCTTTCTGCTACCAGTTTCGTTTTTTTTTTGTTAATCAGAGATGGGCATTCCTGTCCATATGAAAATCTGTCATTTTCTTATTGATGGGGATGCCTTACTTACCCTTAAAGGATTGTCTCTTATGTATTATATAAGTTTAAAGGGCACTTGTAATTGAAATTTAGATCAAAATATCATTGGATTGCCATTTTAAAAAGTGCACAAGTTTGAAAAATGAGTTCAAAACGACCCTACTGTTAAAAAAAAGTTCAAAACAAGATGATTTTCAACAATATATCGAAAAGAAGTGCTCACCAAATTCATTACACCAAATGATGTGACACTATCATAAATGTTGAATGGGATTTAATAAAACCCACTTATTCTAACAATAATCGACCCTGAAATTTCTGTTATGTTGTGTTTGACATACAGAGATTGGAAAAGTTTCAAGAATCTGATCCTGCACTATACTCAAATATGGTTGAGATTTTGAAGAAAGAGGCCAGTGAAGGTAATGCAAGAAAAAGAACCAGCTGTAGTAGTGCCATTGTTTGGCTTACAAGGTAAAAACTTCGAATCTTTAATTGGAAGATCATTGACTATTACAACAGCTATGATTCAAGTCCCGCCATTTGGCCCGTGACTTGCACTTGCGGGCGGGCTTCCATCCAACAGGCCACGTAAAACTTGCATAAATTACATCATGCACTTGCAGAT